CTAAATGTCCCGTTTTTTTTTTTTAAACCAAACACATTTTCTAATCACTAAAACGTCCCAATTTATAACTTCACGTAATATTTTGGCTAGCTGTGGAGCCAGTGCCAGTAGTGATGTGGGCTCGCGTGATGGCTGCACTGTTCCCCCTCCACCACAGTGTCCCTGCCATGGATCTTATAAGTAAATGTATAGCAAAAGACACGAGACTTGAAGCGACGAGGGGGGAAGGGGGTGGGGGGGAGGATGTAACTTCGCAAAAACCAATTTTATTCAGCTACCGCTGTTAGTCTTGTGTGTTCTCTTCCGGCCTGTTCGTGTCAGAGTGACATGTGTTTGTGTTGGGGTGTTCAACTTTATTCTTTAATTTTATATTATCTTCTCATGTAGACAATAATTATGCCCAAGCGTCAATGTAAGTTTATGGAGCAGTTTTCCAAAGAGTGAAACTATTTTAAAAAGGCACGCTATAAAATAGAACCCGAGTGCACAGTTTGCAATAACGTTTTTAGTATTGGTCATGGTGGACGTTCAGACATAAAACAACACATCACATCCGTGAAACATATGACACATATGAACAGACTGAGTGCCCCAAGTAGATTTCTAGGTTAGATTTCACAGTTAAAATGAGCCTATTTATTCAATAAATAGTTTCCTGTGGTGGCCACCGGACCCCTCTTTAGCTGGAGGATATTCCACCCTCACCAAAACAGACCATGCCAGTTCCCCGTTTTTTCCTGTTCATGATTTGGTCACCCTACCTCAATTCAAACGTTTCAATGGTAAGCTTAGACTAGGCTGTTTGCCTTTTTCAACTCCTTAGCATTCAAACAAACAGAGCTTTACGCGCTGTCATCTGAGAAACCTAAAGAAAAAAGTATCAGCCAAAAAAAGCCAACATGAAGTTTAGGCACAACGCGGGTATTCAGCAAGAATCACTTTTGTCGACAAGTAACATTGATAAATATCATTTGACGTGTTTTGATATTTGATCAACATAACGTGATTATGTGTAGCAGCTGTTTAAGGTGAGCAGATTGGCTCATTCACATCGAGACATTTCTTCCATGAGGCAGGCAGCTTGTGCAGCATTAAATAAGACATCGAGTCTCTGAGCGTTATACCCGTGCGGGCAACATCAACCAAGGCACGTCGTTCGTCCTTTGCATGTGAAGATGACCACGGCTGTATGCCACGGTGAGCGCGCAGGTGGCCTGCCGAGATGACCATGGCTGTATGCCACGGTGAGTGCGCAGATGGCCTGCCAAGATGACCATGGCTGTATGCCACGGTGAGCGCGCAGGTGGCCTGCCGAGATGACCATGGCTGTATGCCACGGTGAGCGCGCAGGTGGCCTGCCGAGATGACCATGGCTATATGCCACGGTGAGTGCGCAGATGGCCTGCCAAGATGACCATGGCTGCATGCCACGGTGAGTACGCAGGTGGCCTTCCGAGATGACCATGGCTATATGCCACGGTGAGTGCGCCGGTGGCCTGCCGAGATGACCATGGCTATATGCCACGGTGAGTGCGCAAGTTGGCCTGCCAAGATGACCATGGCTGTATGCCACGGCGAGTGCGCAGGTGGCCTGCCTGTGAGTGCGCCGGTGGCCTGCCGAGATGACCATGGCTATATGCCACGGTGAGTGCGCAAGTTGGCCTGCCAAGATGACCATGGCTGTATGCCACGGTGAGTGCGCAGGTGGCCTGCCAAGATGACCATGGCTGTATGCCACGGTGAGTGCGTCGGTGGCCTGCCAAGATGACCAAGGATATATGCCACGGTGAGTTCGCAGGTGTTCTGCCAGTCCTATTTGTGCCTGGAAAGCTTTCCCCGCACACGTTGTTTTGAAATTCTGCTTTTCCTTGCCGTGCGCTTTCTTTGGGAGAGTTCGTTTGGCTTATTCTCTGAGGATTGTGCTCCTACAGTAGGAAAGCCACGTCAGTTTTCACGGGCCATAGTGTCCCACACGAATCAAGGTCAGTGTTCATGGATTTGAGTGAAGCTTTTATATAGACCTTGGAGCGTTGTTGTTTTTTCTGCCCACCAACTGAGCCTTTCCCACTCGAGAGTTCACCGAACATTAGCCGTTAGCATTCTTGCAACATGCCCTGCCCAGACTTCCAGTGTGTGAAGACAATAACTATGGGAAACATCAACCCAGACATCCAGTCTGTAAAACTGTCACTACCACCAAGCACAAGATACCCTGTTTACCACTGTGACAGAATTGAGACGACGAGGAACGAATACAAAACACAAACAATCGGATGAGATCATGGACCAGAATCAAGTGGCAGTCTCTAGACCAAATTATTCACCCCACCAAAAACCTTTAATACTGGTGGGACTTTGTGAATTATTGTGCAGACTTACTAACGAGAGAAGAAGAAATAATGTAGTGGCTTGCAGCAGCAAACAAACAAGGCAAACTCAAAAGAAAGAAGTTGACTCAAGAAAAATATTGAGTGGCTGTCAAGGGAGAGACACTACATGATCGCCAGAGTTTACTTCTGTCTGTGGTCAGACTACGTGGGTTTAGCGTCTGGGATTTATTGAAATCCTGACTCCTTATTTTGTCTCCCAAGTGAACGTTTGCACTAGACAGCCATAAATCCCTGATGGTTTCTCTGTGACCAGTTTACTGCTACCTACAAAACTGGTCTAGCTGCTCTAATAACTGTGCCCTAGTCAGGGATGAATGGCGCCCTAGAGACGAGGATGAATGGTGTCCTGGACAAGGATGAATGGTGCCCTAGACAAGGATGAATGATGCCCTGGACAAGGGTGAGTGGTGTCCTAAAGAAGGATGAATGGTGCCCTGGACAAGGGTGAGTGGTGCCCTAGACAAGGATGAATGGTGCCCTGGACAAGGGTGAGTGGTGTCCTAGAGAAGGATGAATGGTGCCAGCAAGCACTGGGCGTATTCTTTGAAATGCCCCCCTTATCCCTAATGATTCTTATAAAATTGCCTTACTTTGATTATAATAATGCCTAATGACGTTCATATGATCAAGTAGATCATGTAGAACTCATGTAGATCATTCAAACCTCATGTAGACCTCACGTAGACTTCATGTAGACCTCGTGTAGATTATGTAGACCTAAAGCAGACCTGTTTACTCTTACGATTTTGGCGTACAATGTACGATTTTGGGGTGTATACAGTATACATTATATATACTGTATGTTTACATTTTTTTATTATTAAGATAATGTATTGAACGATTTTGTGACGATATTGTACGATTTTAATAGTTTGAGGGTAAACAGGTCTGCTAAAGTAGATTTCACGTAGACCTCATGTAGCCCTAAAGTAGACCTCATGTGGACCTCATTTAGATCATGTAGACATTATGTAGACCTCATGTAGACCTGATGAAGAACTCATGTAGACAGCTGAAATGTGCACAGATAGGTTTGTAGATGACTGACTTCAAATAAGTTGGGATTGTCACTAATGTCTTTGAATTAATTTATTTTACTAAAAACATTGTTGACACAAATCAACTGTTGGTTTGTTGGTATAATTTCTACCAAAGTTGGGTGTATCTATTGTAACTGTTGGTACAGTTTCTATAAAAGATGGGAGTATCTAATGTAACTGCTGGTACATTTTCTGCAAAGGTTCATCATCATCATGTCCCTTAGTCCTTGGACCGTTGGGGCGCCACAGATGACATAGGAACTATCCTCCATTCGTCTCTGTCTTCTGCACTACGCATAGCATCGCTCAGTGTTAGTCCTGTCCACTCTTTGATGTTATCCTCCCATCATTTTCTTTGTCTTCCTTTTCTTCTCCCTCCTCGTATGGTGCCCTGCAGTATTTCTTTGGCAAGCCCTTGTTTCCTTGTTACGTGGCCGTACCATTGTAGTTAGCGTTTTTTCACGGTCACCAATAGGTCATTGTACTCCCCAATAGCCTGGCGAACCCTTTCTTTCACTGTATCATTGGAGATATGGTCCCTATAGCAGATGCCAAAAATGCTTCTGAGGCATCCTTGTCGTATTCCAACCGTGGTCTTGAACCATTCTGCAATGTTGTTGTTGAGTAAGACTACACTGGTGGCCTTATCATAGAGGTTGCATATCATTCTGGTTAGGTTTGTGTTGATGTTGTAGTGCCTCATGGTGGCCCATAAAGCAGCATGCCAAACCCTATCAAATGCTTTCTTGAAGTCCACAAAGACGTGGTATAGGTTTTGTTGGTGTTGAGCATATTTCTCACATAGTATTCGGAGGTTTAGAATATGCTCAGTAGTGCCCCGTCCTTGTCTGAAGCCCGCCTGTTCTTCAGCAATGATTCCGTCGGCATATGGTTTTAGTCGGCTCAATATGACCTTCAGCATGACCTTGCTTGGATGGCTTATTAGACTAATGGTGCGATAGTTTTGGCATAGCTGTAGGTTACCTTTTTGGGGGAGGGTGATGATGAGCGATTGGGTCCATGGTTTGGGCCATTCCCCCGTCAGCCATATTTTGTTACAAATATTGAATAGAGGTCTTCTCATTGCTTCTCGGGTTATTATTAAATTGGAATTGGTGTCAACGTCCTTACATAAATAACATATTGGCTTCCGATTCCAAACATTAAGCTATATACATAGACTTCATTGCGATTTTCGATCACATAGTGTTCTTGTTTTTTTGTTTGTTTTTTTTTTTAATTTCTAATTATCTGTTGATTCCTGTTTTGTTTTGATTGACGAAGGAGGCGTCTGGCCGAAACGTTCTTTTAATGTTTCTTTCTTTGCATGTCAAGCCTAAACATGTGATTCGCTCCCCTATTGTCCTCACACGCACCCACTCATGTACTGACATTAAATAAAGAGTTGTAGGTTAAGTTATGTGCATTCTTTGACACGTCATTGCAGAAAGATGTGTTAGATGGCCTTCGCTTCATCCAAGATGTGTTAGATGGCCGCCGCTTCATCCAAGATGTGTTAGATGGCCTTCGCTTCATCCATGATGTGTTAGATGGCCTTCGCTTCATCCAAGATGTGTTAGATGGCCTTCGCTTCATCCAAGATGTGTTAGATGGCCTTCGCTTCATCCATGATGTGTTGGATGGCCTTCGCTTCATCCAAGATGTGTTAGATGGCCTTTGCTCCATCCAAGATTTGTTAGATGGCCTTCGCTTCATCCAAGATGTGTTAGATAGCCTTCGCTTCAACCATCCTGTACAATATTAAAAAGTCGGTAAGTTATGAAACAAATGTTCTCTTTATTTGGACGAGACAAATCAGAGTCAATGTAATGAATACGCAATATTTATATTTAAATATATTCTTGAACTATGACCTTTTTGGGGCATTAAATAAATATGAAATGAAATTTAGTTGACTTACATAAATATGGAATATGACCGTTTTAGGGATTAAATAAATATGACATGAACTTTTGTGGAATTAAATAAATGTAAAATATTACTTTTTGAGGCATAAAATAAATATCAAATCATACCTTTTTGCATTAAATAAATATGACATGAAACTTTTGTGGAATTAATGAAATATGACCTTTTCAGGGAATAAATAAATTCCACAAATATTTAATTTTTTTTTTATTAATTTACATGGGATAAATCCAGATCACAATAAAATAACAAATGTAAGAGAGTTTGCGCTTCGAGAAGCACTTAAAAATGTTTACTGTATTTTATTCCCAAACTCTCTGGTCCTCATCTTTCACCAATTTGTCAGATCATTTACCATCTGAATATTTAAACTAGCGTCGTAAAAAAACATACAAGACTTTTTGCCACACTTGGTCAAGGTCAATGACGGCTTCAGAAGCTATGCTTGACGCCAATAATGTGCAAACCCCGTCCTGTGGACCACATTCGGTCCACAACACAATTTTTACATACCTCGCTAGATGTATATTTTTATAATTCTATCATTTGCAAGAACAGTTAATCGCTCTCTTTGAGTTAAATAAGTTGACGTGTGTACATGAACTGAAAATATGATCGGAAAAATACGTGAGGCAATTTGTGTTATCCAGACAGCGCACATGTATATAATTCTTAATTGTCTTTTATAGAAAAGACATACATAATGTTATTACAGATTTAAACCATCTCATTAACAAGTTTTATAAACTAATTTGATTTATTCATACAAATATTTTCAACTTAAAGCTTATAAGTTCTTTTTTTTTTTTTAATTTCTTTTGCAGCGTTTTTTTTACTCCAGCTTGGGTTAAAAAAACAAAAAAAAAATAACAAGTTTTATAAACTAATTTGATTTATTCATACAAATATTTTCAACTTAAAGCTTATAAGTTCTTTTTTTTTTTTTTTATCTTCTATGGCAGCGTGTTTTTGACTCCAGCTTGGGGTAAAAAAACAACAAAAAAACAGGTAGAATCAAGATAAAAAATTTGCTACATTTGACGTAACTTTCAAAAGTTTAATATGGTCTCTACGTTTAAAGGGAACTAATTCTTTTTCCATTCCGGCCCAGGCTAATCATCCCGTCACTAAGGCCCGCGGACCGACAGTGTATGGGCGCGCCTGCTGCACAATTGTTTTTAGCGTATTATTTATGGCCATCATGGAGGTGTGCGATTTCCCAGCAGCCGTGAGATCGAGTTTACTCGTCACTGTGATGACGGCCCGTTTCCTGTCATCGTAAACACATACAGAAACAGATGGTGAATTTCTTGTGAATGGCGTGCCTCTGTCCTGGGTTTTTGTTGGCTTCTTGTGCAAACATTGGAAACTCTCGGGGGGGACGACAAATTCAACCCGGGGTTTCAAGAGCTTAAGTCAGATCACCGGTTAATGGCTACTTTTGTTTTTCAAGAAATATTTTTCCGTCGGATGAATAAAAGACTTTTTTTTAAATGTTCAATTCCTTACGTTTGCGCATCACATAACTTGATTCAGTCACAAATAATTTTTTCTCTGTTCAATCCGATCATGCGTTCTACTTCATTTGTTTGGTGACGACATTTTGAAATTTGAAATTTGTTTATTATTAATATTATTGATTCGTTCAGAATAATTTTGTTTAAAAAGAAATTGTTTGGAATTTCAAAATTAAAGTTTTGCATCTACCCGGCCGCACCTAGAAAGTTCTGGGCCCCAGGCAGCTGACAGATTTCGGGCCCCTTTCGTGTTTCAAACATGTGCGATTATTTTAAAACTCGAAAAAGGGCGGGCCCGTATCTAGCTCGGGCCCGTATCTAGCTCGGGCCCCTATCTAGCTGGGGCCCCTATCTAGCTCGGGCCCCTATCTGGCTCAGGCCCCTGACAAGTGCCATGGTTGTCCCCCCCCCCGCCCCCAAGTAGGTGCTGGTGCTACTCCCTCGATATTACGTATCCGTGAATATCTCTCTTTCCATTACGCTTGAGAGTTATTCTACCAACTTCTACCAAACTTCAATAAAACATTTTCTTTAATATTTAAAAATAGATACCTCTTACGTCATTTCTTAATTTTTCTGACTAATGCTTGAGGCAATGACCAAGGGTTGCCCCCTTCTGCTTGTCCATTGTTTCTATTGAAGCTGTTCGCAGGGCCAGATTTCTATTGTGCTCGTCCTTGCTTATCTCCACCAAGCTACTTTGGCCTTCCACGGTTTCTGTTCTGTAAGTATAACCCAGAGATCAGTTTGATTGCACTCTACGGCAACCCCCATCTCTAACAACGTATTTTGACGCTTCAATAACTTTATCACTTGGCGGCACCTGTGTTCGTCCTTTACACCTTTCTTTGATGTTATACTAGGTGACACGCGGCGTAGCATACGCCGCGAGCTTGTTGGGGTGTGCGCATGGCTGGCAAGCGAGGGTGGTGCAGGAAGGGGGGGGGGGGCGGTAGCTCCACCGCAGTGCCCATGCCTCGAGACCAACGATGGGCAGGCAAGGGAAGAGAGTGGAGGGTTTGCCTGCATCTTGCTTGCTCTGGCGTATCTATATATAGCCTGAGTCGTCGTCTTCTTGCTTCTTGCCCTAGTTTCGCTGGCGAATTATATATATATAAATAGATTCTTAAGATCACTTCATGGGCAATTTTTCTGAAAAACTTTCAGCTTCCTCTCTGATATTTTTATGTGGGTTTTAAGCGATTTATTACTTTGAAATAATTTATAATATATTAAATTCTTTTTCTTTCGCTTGAAATAAATGTTTGTTTGGTTATTGAAGCGCTTTGTTTTATTTGTTTTGTTTGTTTTTTTTTCAATCTGCTTTTTTAAAAAAATCTTTGAAACAAATTTTCTCTACCTACTCTAGACCACTTGAAATCGATACTCAGATTCGTTCGTCAAACGACAAATAGCTGTTGGAAGTTGGGTGGATCTTTGAGGATCTTATTTCTCTAAGTCGATCTTTAAACTAATTTAACCCTGGAAAATCAGTTTTATTAAAGCAGACTTTCCAGTTTGGCTTTCATTATTTCGGTTCAAATTGCCCAGAAAATATAACCGATGAGAAATTTATCAAGTGTGCTACTTTTCTATTGATCGTCATTGCCCACCCACCAAGGACAAAACGCGTCGTGACGTGGTCATTAAAACTTTTCAACCATTTACCAAACACCATTTTATTCAGAAAATGGCGGTCAAGCCAAACAAAGCTAGCGGCAATGATGTATTTATTAAGCCTTAATCTCAAACAATAAAAACCGTTTATCATCGGATTTCTCAGAAATGGCAATCAATGGATATAACCATCCACCGAATCTGACCTTGAACCTACAATAGCAATCATGTCTGACCTTGAACCTACTCATCAGATCGTACTTGAACTGCCTTATTTGAAATCGTCTGCTGTCCCATTATAATATTGTCAATAACAGACATGGGAGGTTATCAAACTTTTTCTCCCGGTGTTTAGACACAAATTTCGATATCGTAATTTTAAGAATTGAATTTCAGAGATTTTTTGTGTTAGGATCTATCTCTCAGCGTACACACGGAGATTTCGTTTTTATTTTTAAAAATATTAAGTGTAAAGATGTGTAGTAAATTTATAATCATATCCCAATGGTTTTTTTAAAATAAGTTTTTCTTGTCTATGTAAATAATATCTATAATTATTGGCCATACAGAATTTAGCTTCAACTTCAAGAATTTTTTAAAAAATATTTTAGTACAGTTAAACTGTATATTTTATATTTTTTTTTTGGGGGGGGGGGGCTAGTTGGTTACTGTACTGTTAAAGAGTCTTCTTCTTTTTCTTTTTTTTTTTTTAAGGAGCCCCGATCAATGTTTTTCAACTTCAAGAATTTTTTAAAAAATATTTTAGTACAGTTAAACTGTATATTTTATATTTTTTTTTTGGGGGGGGGGGCTAGTTGGTTACTGTACTGTTAAAGAGTCTTCTTCTTCTTCTTTTCTATATATTAAGGAGCCACGATCAATGTATTGATCATTCTGGCTCCTATGTATGTAGAGGTGATTCGCAATGTTTCTGTGCCTAGTATTGAACAGCATATTTCACAGGTATCAAGGGCAACACAGTGAGGGTGTCGTGAACTGGGTGTTGCAAGGCCAGAGGCAATAGACGCAAATGTGTCAAGTGTTTTCGCCTTAACTGTAAATTTACCAGAGATGGCCGCTACGTAAAATTGTGTAGTTGGTTTATATCATATGGAGTCAGTGTACCAAATCTTGTTCTTAATTTATTTTCATATAAATCATATACGATGTATTACTTGTATACAGTATACCAGTAATTGCAATGTCTAAAATTCCATTATGGTTATTAATATTTAAATGTTTGGAGACCGGACAAAGAGCTTGTTTATTTATGTTATAGAGGTGTTCTCTAATACCGTCTCAAAGGCGACGACCTGACTCTCCTACGTATAATTTACCACACTTTTTACTAAGGATGGTGTAAATCACGTTGCGACTTGTGCAGGTAAAGCCATTTTTTATTCTGAATGTTTCCAGAGGGAAAGTGATCTCGTCAACTTCAATCACGTAGGGACATGTGTTACAACGGCTACGGTTGCAACTTTTGGTGCCTATATGGGCTTTAATAGCAGGGAGGTGGTGTCTAACAAGTATATCCCTAAGGCTCTTGTCCCTCCGGAAAGCGAAAAGAGGTGTTTTTTTGGGAAAAACTCATTGGAAACAGGGTCTGCCATAAGAATGGAACTGTTTTTTGAGAACCAGATGTTATGACGTTATGGGATGAAAAGTTACAATAAATGTACATCTATCCTCACTGTCAGAAGGAGCTGCTTTAACAAAAACCCTGTCTCGTCATAACTTAAATTCGTGTTTAAAAGGGAAGCGTTTGTTTTTCCATGTGTGTAAATGTGTGTATATGGTCGGAGGCGGTTGCTATACACCATGTTTTCTAAGCGTAAGTCTTGTAAATAAATAGCTTTGCGAGGTTTAAGAAGGGTGCCGAACTAGTGTGGAGGGAGGGAGTAGACTACATTTGGGGGAGTTGCTACTCTTTGTGACACCCGGGGCTGTCCTTGATTTTAACTACCCTCAATAACAAACAAAAAATACATGTCCCTAAAGAATACACTTTGAAAATTAGCTATACAAATGACATGGAGTGGACGAACAATGCCGCCCCAATATAACTGCCACCCGGGGCGGACTGCACCCTCTTCCTACGCTCGTTTGTACAGAATTAGGATAAGGGGGGAAACTGTCATTCTTACGAGTAAAGACAACTAGTATAAAACATTTGTGAGTGCAAAATTTTTCAGCAATACATTTCAAGGTGGTATTTTTTTTAAATTAACATTCATATGTCAAATTTCTTTTTCAGATTGATGGATTAAAACAACATCACAGGGTTCGAATCAACTGTCATGTCTGCTCCACTCGAGGTTTTTTGTGTGGGTTTCTTACCACACTAACGCAGGCCGTGGAAAGGATGTCGTCAGGTTTTAACCATGTCCAAAGCCTCTCGTCAACCCCACGACCTTGAAGCCTACCATGCAGAAGACTATCCAAGTCCTAATGCCCGACGTCCTAGTCCCCAGATGGAACACGACGCTAGCTCTCAGCATGGAGGACAGGCAGCGCGATAGTGACCACTTGTTGTCGACTTTTGGCCCAGAAGTTTCTTCTTTTCCCCCTTCAGATTTGAATACGATAGAACAAGACGTGGCCAATCAGACAGAATATAAGGTGGCAAAGCTGGTTTGGCAGGTATTTTGACATTTTGTCTACTCGTTTGTAACAAATGGGGGAAAATCGTACAGATAATTTAATGCATCATTATCAATATTATGTACTTTGTATATTTACAATATTTCATTTAGGATTACCTAATTATTTTGGATGACCTAATCATTTAGGGTGACCTTATGATATTGCTCTTTGCACTCATCCATTTTATTTTTATGTATTTATCTCTTTAAAATTAAAACTACTAAAATTATTATGAAATATAGTATTGATTTTATTTCGAAAATTTCATTGTAAGTCAATTGTGTGGATTTTTTCCCTCCCAAAATGTATGCCGAACTCTCGCTCTAATGATAGGTCTTAAAGAAAGAACAATGGGAGTCGCTTAGTCGATTGATTTGTCACGTGATGAGAGTAAAAACGAGTAAATTTCCGGTAGGCTTTATACAACACACTAGTGCTTGACAACAGTAGCCCGTTACACACTACAACTAGTAATTCAAGATGCCTACGCAATGTTCGGCTTTTGGCTGTTCAAATAGTAAAGTTAAGGACATCGGTATAAGTCAGCAAAAGTTTCCGGCTAAGGATAAAGAAAATTTAAGACAATGGCTTGACAAAGTGGACCTTCGTTAATTATTCATATGAAATCTTGTTCCAACCGGTTATTAAAATATTCCTTCGCCGCACCAATATTGAATAAAAACGCAAATGACGTCATGAGTATGCCGACATTTCGTCCAATGAAAATTAACAATAAAATAAACAAAGGGGAATGACTCCTGCACCAATATTGTATAAACACGCAAATGACGTCATGGGCACGCACGGAGCTCAACAACAGCCTGCCGATGATAGTATTGATAGTCCCCATCGAATATCGCTCACAATTTTTTCTTGAAATAACTTTCTTCCTTTAATCATAACTGACGTATATGTATTGTCACATTTATGTATATCATTTAAAAAACGCGTGTATTCCAGAATATGTTGAAAGGTAAAATTTTCAAGTAACATAACATTGGGGAAGCACTGATGAAGTATCTTTTGTTGTGTGTAGCAGCCTAGTGATGGCTTACTCTCATCACGTGACCAAACAAGGAAGTGACTAAGCGACTCCCATTACTCCTTCATTTCTTTATCACTCAAAAGTAAATTACAGCGGAAGTGCGTTGTTTTTTTTCCCACGAATCTCAAAAGCCACCGACTTCAAATCTTCATATTGTGCAATAACCACATCATTGCGAGGGTTTCTTTGTTGAAATCTTGTACTTTTTTTTTTAAGTACGTCATACAAACAAGGCTTAAGAACAAGACACACAAACCTTTTGGATAAAAAGCGTCTTTTGAAGGAGACACAACTGTGATAGTTAGATATGACTGTACCTAATATATTATCGCACCTAATAAATCTTTTTTTCTTCTCTCTCTCTTCTCCATGCCACGTGATCAAGGTCTGCCCAGTTGTCCTGTTTCTGTTCGGCACATTCGGCAACGTCCTGATCCTGTTCATGATGCGGACCCTCCGCCTCGGCCGAACCTCCATGCACATCTACCTCCGCGCCTTGGCCATCTCCGACCTCTGCGTCCTCTACACTGGCCTGCTCCGGTGGTGGATTCGGTGGACCTTCGACATCGATCTCCGCGACAAGCACAACTTCCTGTGCAAGGCGCACACGTGGCTCGTCTACGTGGCCATCTACGTCTCCGCGTGGCTTCTCGTCGTCATGACCCTGGAGCGCGCCTGTTCAACATGCGTGCCGCACCGCGTCGGCTCGTTCTGCACGAAACGCAGGGCGTTCATGGTGATAGTGTTCATAGTGCTGTCTCAGGTTCTGATGCAGGGACACTTCCTTGTGGGGCTGGCGCTGGTGGACAACGGGTCTAACGCGACGCACTGCTCGTCCGTGACCGCAGATTACGATATATTCGCTCATAAGGTATATCCTATTATAGACATGGTGCTCCTCTCGCTGGTTCCATTCCTCTTCGTCATCCTCGGCAACGCCGTCATCGTCTGGAAAACGTTTCTATCGCTCAAAACAGCGGCGGAGCTGAACTTGACGTCCGGTAAGAACGCGTTACTGCGCAGGCGCCGCGCGTCTTCCATGACCGTCATCCTGCTGGGGCTCAGCGCCATCTTTCTGTTGACAACGTCGCCGACGTGTGTGTACAATATATGGGAGCAGGCGGGGGGCGCCAAGGAGGCAAAGACCACGCCCCAAAAATACGCCCGGGCCGAGCTGGCGTGGGCGGTGGTCAACATCGCCATGTACTGTAACAACACGTTCAACTTTTACCTCTACTGCCTCAGCGGCCGGAAGTTCAGAAACGAAATGAGGCGCCAGTTCTCGCGCAGGCGCAATGACTCCCAGTCGAACGCTCTCTCGGCGCCATCCGTACAGGTACATCGGTTTCCATTGAACGACTACAGGTCGAAGTGTTTGACAGACCAAACGACACCCAACGGGCAGCTCAGCTACCAGTCGTCCTTCTACGCCCGCTCCAGCAACGCTTATCTATGAATGGATTAACTACGCGCTGTTGGGCTTATTTAATTTGTTTTTTTTTTTTTAAACTGTGATAAATTTTTGGTATTCCACCAGACTAAAACCGTTCACCATAAGGGAGTGGATTTAAAATAATAACCTTAAAATAATTCATTTGTTAACCAGACAGACCCCAGGACGCCAACGCGTTTCTGTTAATCATCTGCAGTGTTTAGAGGCGAATCTATCTTCCATTGAATCCCATTATCATGAAATAATTATTGAAAGCCCTTAGAGAACAAGTTTTTGTGACCATAAAACCAAAGCTACCTTATTACTGCACAGTCAACAACGCTGCTTTAAAAAAAGGGGGTAAAAAATAACGCCAAATGTTTTGTGAATTCGAACATTAAACTTAATCATTCTCGCTTCACTAATTCCGTTAAAATAGTTTTGTTTTTACTTTGTTCTTAGATATTCCTTTTTTTTTTTTATAGAATTATGAACTTTTTAAATATTCCTTTTTATAATCAGTTACAACCAAAAATAGATGTTACAACAATGTATTCATCGTGTTATAACGATACTGATGTTAAACTTCCGTTTGATATTTTATGCGAGTGTACGTGACAAACATTTTGCAAAAACTCTTTACTCCTAACTCAACACTCCTGGGATCTTTACGACCCAAAAATCAGGATTAAGATTCAAGAATTAAGTCAGTGGCGTAAGACGGGGGGTGTGGAAGAAAAAACAAAAAGGGGGGGGGGTGTCCCCCTATGTTCTTGTAGAGACGGCATTTTCGGCAAACTGCAGATCTTTTCTTTTCGAGGAAAATGTGTGTCAAAAATCTTTGCACCATCCGGGCGGCACTGCATTTGGTAAAAACACATTCGGAATTTTAAATTAATTACGATTTATTGAATGTTTAAACAGGCGCATGTTTAACATCAGAGACATTGTAAAACATTGATGTCATAGAGAATGGAATATGGCGTCACGTGTTTCGGGGCACTCGACGTTTACCGAAATAAATATTACACCCGTAGATTGTATTACAAGCATTTAAATCCCGGAATCATTCTTTTAAAATCCTTTATATCAACTTCGATTTTTTTTTCGTGGCCGGCTGGCTGGAAAAATCTTCTGACGACTAATTGACCCACTTCCCGTCAACCCATCGAGCTGAAATGTTTCTGATGACAACACATTACATCAAATTTTCATCACCAACACCAAAATCACCCTCAAAAATAAGTTGTTTATTTTTTTTTTCAAAGGGAATATAAAATAAAATTCCAGACAAGTGCGCTAGATGAGTTGTGTTGGTTTTTTTGTTGGTGCCTAATAAAAATTTTAGTTGTTTTTTCTAAAATTGTTGGTGAAATAAAATTGCTTTGTAAAAGCGGCTTGGTCATTAGAATGTTAATATTGATCAGTGGCGTGAAAAAAAATGTGCGATTGCCAGCCTTTGGGTGGGGGGGGGGGGGGGGGGGCAATAATTTTTTTTATTATATAGTGCGTTACTTAAAGTTTTTTTTTCTCAAAACTTCCACCAAAAACCCCCCCCCCCCCCCAATTGCTCGATGTCACATTTTATGAAGGATGTAAATAAAAAACTTTGTTTCTGAGGCGTTGTTTAATTACATATTACAACATATCGGCAAAAACTTTATAAATTAATAGTCTTTGATAACTTTTGATCATTGTCCGACTTCCATATTTTTTAGCCAAAATGTGTGTCCGTTCTACCCACCAGGACCGTCGCGTTACTTTTGGAGGTCTCCTGCCACTTCTTGTTTGTTAGCCTCCTGTATTCAAAGTTAATGTTAAAAACTTTTCCCCCTCACAAATTTTGGGCCCCTTAAATATCTGAGCCCCCCCCCCCCCTTTTTTTTCATCCGCATACAGTGGTTCCATGGCCACTGAGGTGTAATTGGATACATTTTGAAAAACTCACCAGGTTTTTCATTCTTTTATCGATGTGTATTTGATCCTTGAGTTAACTTGTCCAATATAAACAAACAGTTGTAGACGGACAAACATGACGAAAGCGTCTCACTTGTCCATGTCAAAGATAGAGTGACCTACTTTTAAACACAGGAACCGCTCAAAACAAACAAATGTAAGAACTGGGTAATCTCAACCCCCACCTTGCAGGTCATTCGGTGGGAGCTGTTTTGTTCAGCATTCTTCCAAGTTTCAAGGTGTATTACCCATGTCATTTTGCATCTTTTAACAAAGGTTTTTCTTAAATTAAAACAAAACAATGTCCTTTTGGTAAACTTCACTCAAAGGTTTACTCTCGGTTAAACTTTAATGGGTTTTTTTTTTGATTGTGTGTTTGTTTGAGTGTGTGTGTGTGTGTGTGTTCTTTTTTTTTTCCTTTTCTTTTTTTCTTCTTCTTCTTCTTTATTTTAAGGGCCCACGATCAATGAATTGATCATTTTTACCGCACCATTTAATGAAACATGTATCAGGTGCAACCAACTCCATGCATGATATTAAAAGCTGACGGGTAGACAGACGGGTTTTGTTCAAAATGTGAATCAGGTCGTACAATGGCACGCCTTGGGGGACACTTCATAAGCCACCCTCGCGTGAAGTTGAAGGGCGCAGTGGTGTTTCAATGCCACTGTGGACAGTACTAACATCACCACGGTGGATTGCTCTAACATCACCACGGTGGAATGTGGTAACATCACCACGGTAGAGTGGGGTAACATCACCACGGTGGATTGCTCTAACATCACCACGGTGGATTGCTCTAACATCGCCACGGCAGGTTGCTCCAACATCGCCACGGTGGATTGCTCTTACATCACCACGGTGGATTGCTCTAACATCACCACGGTGGGTTGCACTAACGTCACCACGGTGGATTGCTCTAACGTCACCACGGTGGGTTGTAGTACCATCACCTGGTGATCCCGATGTCAAACCCAGTAAAAAATTTCATCAAGAAATTATTGTGGGCTGTCCCTAGCATCGTATCAAAGGGCTGCCCTGATATTATTGATTTTAATATTAATATTAACCTTATTATTTTCTCATTCTGTCTTTGCTCCTCCTTCTGGCGTTCAACAATGACCATAAAAACACTTCCACAGTTTTGAATCCACGAATTTATTTTAACAAGAACTGCACCTAGCATGATATCAAGACGTTGTCAATGCAGACGCTCTTAGCGATAAAAGAATTAACAGCCTTGACATTGGCGTTGAAAAAAAAATGTCGACCGTGAAAAAAAACGTCGGGGAAAATTGATGGCCTTTAAACTACTGATTGAAATTCTACTAAACTTTATACTTGCAGATTTTTACAAGAAATGTTCAATTCTTAACACTACCCTTCACGCTTGAACATCTACATTATTTTGTGTGGCTTAATCCATGGGCGCCCGCAGGGGGGAGGGTGCACTTGCCCCCCCCCCCGGATTGATTGGATAAAAAAAAATTTAGACAAAAAATAGACAAAAAATGTATTAAAGTAAAGAGAAAATAAAGAGAAAGTAACTAAGCTGATGTCCTGTCCGTTCGTTTACCATACAAATACTCTACAGTAAATTAAAACTACATTAGAACATTACTAAAAAAAATTTGACGCCCCCCCCCCCTAGAAAGTTAATCTATTTTTTTAATCCCCCTCCCCCCTAGAAAGTTTTCTGCGGGCGCCCATGGCTTCATCTATTTTTATTGGGTGATTTTTTTTTATTTAAATTTCTAATTACAACAAAACATATTTGTGTATATAGGATTTTGTGTGAATTTTTGTAACAAAATAAAGAATGTGTTGAATGGATAATGTTGACTGAAATATACTCGATAAATATTTATATCTGAATGTGTATGATGTTATTTGAGTTCCTGTTGACTACACATTGGTTGATGATTAAAGACACGATTTAAAATGTATCGTAAAAACCTTTCTCCTTTTCTCTACCGTTCTCCCTGTCTCTCTACTCTTCTCCCTGTCTCTCTACCTTTCTCTCTATTTCTCTACCTTTCTCCCTGTCTCTCTACCCCCCCCTCTCTCTCTCTCTGTATGTCATTGAATTATCCACTCTCTCGCGCAAGCACACCGACTCTCTTTCACACATACATTCTCACTCTATCTCACACTAGTACACACAAACTCACTATCTGCCTCTATCTCTCTTTCCTTCTCTTTCTCTTTATCACTAACTATCTCTCTCTATGTCTTTATCTTGATCTAAATATGTCTTTCTCCATCGCATTCACGCCCTTGTAGCCTCTATATTATTTCATCCCACCATTTTGACAAAAACCAAAGAAAAGACTGGAAGCTGATCAAACTAAGAGACCGTGATATGATCCGTTGGCAAACTTTTGAAATGGCATTACCATTTTTTTCCCCACTTTTAAGCCCATGGCTAAATTAATTTTAAGTCAACACCGCCGGTCTGCCGGGTAATGGACCCTAAAACCTGAGACCACAAAGCAGAGAGCTTCCGACTCATCGTTCAGAAAAGGGTTGCCGCCCCTTTCGTTACACGCTTCGATTTTTAATGAACTTTTCAACAAATAATTCCCTCCAGTGTTTAACTCGATGCTCAATAAAAAAAACAACAACAACAACAACATTGTAATGCTAAAAAGCAACATGTTAGTGAACTTGTCCGAAATCAGTCTGGGTTTCTGCTATTTTTTAAACTTTCAGTCGAACATGTCAACATGATTGAGTTTTAACTGATTTTAGTTAAATGTAGGGGCCACATACTCTCTAGTTGTTATGGTGGACAACGTACACTCCAGTTGTTATGGTGGGAGACGCGCACTCTAGTTGTTGTGGTGGAAACATACACTCTAGTTGTCATGGCGGGAAACATACTGTCTAGTTTTTATGGTGGGAAACATACACTCTAGCTGTTATGGTGGGAAACATACACTCTAGTTGTTATGGCGGGCAATATACACTCTAGTTGTTATGGTGGGGCTCTTGTCGTCATGTCGATCAATGATATGTTTGATAAGGAGGCGCTCGCCACGAACCCCCTGAAGCGTTACCCGGGGAACAGTATTACCGTGTAGGGGACCCGCGCTGAAAGGCAAAGGTAACGCACGGAGACTGCGTTAATTCGAGCACGATTGCATGGCTTCCCACCAAGTGCAGTCGAACTATTTTACTAAACGCAGAAACAGGTTGGGACATGATTACAGTTGCCGTATGGATATGAGGTGAAGGTGTGTGGCAACCTTTCACCGTACGGTTATCTCGTGTTATCTGGTGCGATTTGACGGCGTACACAAGGGGGGGGGGGGGTCTAAGCTGGGGGCAAACAAAACAAGTAGTTCCCCATCCTAACCCTAACCATCTGGTTACAGGAATATAAGGTCCAGTACTACGGGATCCCACGATGTCATGCCGGGGTCAAAATATGAGCCCCATCCTAACCATCTGGTTACAGGAATATAAGGTCCAGTATTACGGGATCCCACTATGCCATGCCTGGGTCAAAAT